ACCTAATCTCACAAAACCTTAATCTTACTTATCTTAATTTAATCTAACATGTTTAATCTATTATAAATTAACCTAACAATTTATCTAACCTATCATAATCTAACCTAATTTACTTTAACTTAACCTAACCTAATCTAGCCTAACCTAACCTAATCTAACCCTTTGAACACTGTGATTAAGGAGACTTAGTTTCCTTTGGGGTTAAGTCATTATATCAAAGAGGTTAACTCACTATATTCAAAAGGGACTAAAAAGGGTTAATTTACCACGGGGTTAAGATCTTGTACTCAGAGTGTTGGCATCGTACTCATAGGATTGTTATCGTACTCAAGGGGTTGTTGGTAATATACTCACGGGACTAATTCATTGTACACAAGGGCATAGTACTCAAAGGATCCAGTTATTGTACTCAAAGGGTCAAGTAATTGTACTTAAGGGGTTAACTTATCATACTCAAAGAGGAAAGACATCATACTCAAAGGGTTAAATTATCGTACTCAAAAGGTCAAATCATTGTACTCAAGGGGTTAAAAGGAGACCAGAGTACAGCCACCATGACGGGAATAACACCGCTATGCCTCCTTCAGACACTCACGGGATACTGACTCCTCTATACCATGTTAAGGATCTATATATCTGCTGATTACTGGTCCTTTATATATCACCTGTAATCAACCAGGTACTCAGAAATTCTACATATTTTTTTTTAGTAGTTCGTCCTGATCACACATACAAAAATTCCACCGGACTGCAGATCTAGAAATTCGTCTCTTTTAATTCGTCCTGAACACGTATCCAGAAATTCGTTTGTATTTTCGTTTCATTTTATAGTATTTTTGTTGTTGTTGTAAATCGTCTTGACCATCTATATAGAAAATATATTTTTATAGTTTTTCCGGATGTTTAACCGTGTCCGGGTGAAGAGAAAATGTAATCTTATCCCTTATTCTTTGGGTAACAACCACACCAGGTAACTTAACGGTCAATTAACCATGCTAAACCAGGTATCTAGTCGGCCAATTAATCACACCAGGTATCTAGACGGCCAATTAACCACATTAGGTAACTTAACGACCAATTAACCATACTACACCAGGTATCTAGACGGTCAATTAACCACACCAGGTATCTAGACGGCCAATTAACCACACTAGGTAACTTAACGACCAATTAACCACACCAGGTATCTAGACGGTCAATTAACCACACTAGGTAACTTAACGACCAATTAACCACACCAGGTATCTAGACGGCCAATTCGCTACACCAGGTATCTAGAAAATTAATTTATATCTTCTTTTTAAAGGGATGAGGAAGATGGGGGGGGGGGATAAGGACCACTAATTATCCAGGTGTGAGTATAACATAGTGTCAGGTAGATATAGTGTGGCTATGATGTGGCTATGGTGTGGCTATAATGTGACGTCACTTAAGGGGTAAAGCTAATCTACTTAATGATTTATAAATGATGTATGTGTATTTGTTTACTGTAGGGGGAAATATGGGTGACTGTAGTGATGATATGATTTGGTATTTTAATATTAGGTTTTGTCTTTAAACCCTTCACTGCTGGACGACATTTTTTTTATATTCTATTTGGCTAACGTGAGAGATTTTATTCAGCTCAGAGGGGACCCGTAGATATAAAAGGGGTTAATGGACTATCTCCACTAACGAATAAGCGGAGGTAAACAAGAAGTAAGCAAACTGAGTGAAAGAGATACTGGTTGATTTTTTTTAAGAGCGAGAGTGTGTATAAACAAAGGTGATGCGACATTTACTGGGATAGCGGAAGATAAACAAACTACAAAAGTTACCGTGAAAAAAACCCCTTGATATTATTGAGTATCGGAATGACTGGAACGAATCTGTAATGTGCTGGAACGAGTCTCCTACCTTCTGGAACGAATCTATGAACTACTGGAGCTCGTCACCTAGTTGCTATAGAACGAATCTCCGAACTGTTAGAACGAATCTTTGAGCTACTGATCTTACCGCATAGATGGTATTTGTGGCACTTCACTTGGATCTGAACACGATGGTAAAGAAACGTTTTTTCCTCGTCTGTAACTTAACCAGATTCAACACGAATATCCAAATACATCGAATTTCAACGATATCACTTAACAAGGAGACAAATAATCAGAGTTTTAACGTGAAAGGAGTCGTCGAATTTTAGCGCGATCGCGGACCACTCGGCGTGTACCGGAAGTGCAGCGGCATTACGTATTGGTAAAACGGGTCGTCGGGGCCTGTGCGTGATCGGGTATACGGTTCGTTGGTCACCGGACGTTTTAACAGGATAGCGTGAAGAAGAAAGGACTTGACGGGACTTACAGGTGAGTGAGCACCTTTGTGGGTAATCAGGTAACTGGGATTATCGGAGGTTCGCGCACCAGAAACCAAATCACCGGAAGTTTTTTGACGGAATCTGTGAAGTGGATTTTGGCGGCTTCGCGGAGTATACTTCCTGATAGAGCGTGATCGCGAAGTGAATGAAATGTGGCCTTTAACTTCATCGCTTAAGGAATAAACTGGAGTTTGAAGGATATCGCGAAATGAAAAAAAGAAAACTGTACAGTAAGTTGTCGAGAAACAAAATATGACGAGATCATTGGCGACATCGGGAACTGACTCGCTGAAACTTTGGCGTTGTTTGCGTAGTCAGTTGGCGAAGTGAGTGTAAGAGATTTGATGTGTTAGTATTTATTTATTTTACTGAAACGAATATGAATTCCTTTGCAGTGTAGGATCAAGGAACATGAACTTTGACGAACAAGGAACAGAAGGATTGAAAGTTTTACGAGAAGGGACAAATGTTTTACCTTCAAAGATACACGGGAAGTTTAACGTTTACACAGACGAAGGTTTAACACACATACAGCCGGAGTTTTAACGTGGTTACAGAGGAAGATTTAACGTACGCACTGACGGAGGTTTAACGTACATACAGCCATGTTTAACGTACCTACTGACGGAGGTTTAACGTACATACGGACAGGTTTAACGTAGATACAGAAGTAGGTTTAAGGGTACGTACTGACGGAGGTTTAACGTACATACAGCCAGGTTTAACGTACATACTGACGGAGGTTTAACGTACATACAGCCATGTTTAACGTACATACTGACGGAGGTTTAACGTACATACAGCCAGGTTTAACGTACATACTGACGGAGGTTTAACGTACATACAGCCATGTTTAACGTACATACTGACGGAGGTTTAACGTACATAAATCTAATGCCTTGTTGATAAATATTTCTCAGTAGAAATTTTAAAATGATGATGAAGACACAACGAAACATTTATTAATACATGATGATCTATTTTCCGTACATTTTTATGCCTATTGTATTTTAACGTTAATTTTAATGCATGTTTATACGACTGTGTTTTTATTTTATTTAAACGTGTGTGTGTGTGTGTGTGTGTGTGTGTGTGTGTGTGTGTGTGTGTGTGTGTGTGTGTGTGTGTGTGTGTGAATGACGACACACGTTACATCAGCTGATTGACGTAAACAGCCATCTGTTCATCTTAATATATGCGATCACTTACCCTCCCCCGAGGAACTTTGGCCATAATGAAATATAATTACTTCCTAATTACCAAGTTACAAACACATTACCAACAACTTAAGTACTATTCATTAGATATCTTAATTAAATAGGTGTGTGGTGGTGATGGTAGGTAAGACACTAATTGCCATAGGTAACACCTGGCCAATATCCCAAATGCGATTAATTAGGTTTATGACACTTAATTACCATAAATAATATCTGACCATTATCTCAGGTAGGATTAATTAGGTTCTTATACATGGATGGTAATTATAATACCTGTTAATTACCTTATAATTATTACCCTAATATCGTAATTAAATTAATGATAAGGGTGAAATGTGTCGAGTGATTTAAATACCTGTATAAACACCTGGCCAACGACGCCTTGAATGTTATATGCTATTTATGTGTTCCCACGTTAGTTCCTTGATGATGACTATGATGATGGTGGTGATGGTGGTAATGATGATGATGATGATGATGGTGGTGATGATGATAATGGTGGTGGTGATGGTAATGATGATGATGGTGATGATGATGGTGGTGATGATGATGATGTTGGTAGTAATGATGGTGGTGATGATGATGATAGTGGTGGTGATGATGATGATGATGATGATGATGATGATGAAGACGATGATGATAATAACATATGAACTACTCATTAAAGATAAATAGACCTAACGAACGGGTTATATATATATATATATATATATATATATATATATATATATATATATATATATATATATATATATATATATATAATGAGTCAAGTTTCTATATTCTGTAGAGGTTTAAGATAAAAATTAATAAAAAATATATCAATAATTGGTAAGTTATTATAGTTGTCATCTTGTGGAAATTGTAAAGGAATTTTTACTTGTCCAATGAATGACTATATTTAGTGTCAATGTTGGTAATCTCTCAATGAAGTTAAAATAAACTAAATTCACAAAAAGAAAAAAATGCAAGAAAAAAAAATGCGTTGAGCACGACGTTTGAAATGACCTAAAAATGCAGAATTTCAAAGTTTTTTAAGTATATTTTTGTCTTCGTTTTCGGATTATCTTTACAGGACGAACTATTTTTTTCTTGTCGACTCTAAAAGGCTACGTTGGGAGGACCACCAGGCTGGGTCACATCAGCCGGTGTCCAGAGTGTCGAAAATAAAAGAAAAAAGAAAACCCACAGACGCCTGAGAACATCTGGGGTCCGAACTGAAATATTAAGGTGTGTTGACATTACCAGACATGTGTTCCAAGGTGTCTCAAAGGTCACCAAGTTACCTGTTAATATCACCAACCTTCACCTGAGTTAATAGCCCGTAAATAATTACTTTAACCGAGGATTGTCTTAACACAAGAAGGTGAAAAAACTCCTTCCCCACATGGCTCCTTTTCCCTCCTCCTCTTCTCCCAGTCACTCTCACTCACTCTCACAGCGACAGACGCGGACGTACGCTCCCCGTGGTGCCTCAAACCCGACTGAGGTGGCAGAGGTGAGGGAAATATTCTCCTACCCCCAACCGCCTGGCCCTCCCCTCCAGCTTGTGGCCCCGCCCCCCGGCTCTCCAAACTCCGCCCCCCGCCACCTACTGACCAGAGCCTCCTAACGAGGTCTTGGTGGTGGCTTGTGGATAGATAGATTAGTTTGGCACAAAGATAGATTACAGAAGGGGCAGCCTCGACCCAAAGCCTCCGAGAAGGAAGTTGAACAAAGTCTATCTTGGAGAGCACCTCAGATCCCTCCCACCCTACCCCATCCCCCGCTCACCCACCATCACTCGTGTATTAAAATCTAAACTAACTCGCTCAATATATATACCAAAGATCACACGGGATTAATGATTAATCCCTCCCCTGCCCGCAGGTTGAAGGGGATTTATAAGATGGATTATGATAGATGTAACAGTACCATGAGGGTGTGGGACAGTTCGCCAGGGGATTTCAAGAAGTGTCGCAAATTCGTCAACAATGGTGGTCTTCCTGTGGACTTACAAATGGTTTTCCGGTGTTTGCCGCGCCTTGGCTGGTCGGAATGGGCAGATATTAATTGTTTCTGCGCCTGTACACCGTCATTAGTCTGTGGGGTGATTGGCGCCACAGACGGCTAGCATAAGGGGACTCCACTGTATACAAGGGCCAGGAGCTCACATTCCCAAAGACTTGTGTGTGATTATTATCTTCCTCTGTAACTGCGGTAAAGACGTGACAGCAATACTTACGCTACAGTCTTGGTGCAATTTCGACGCCATATTTGCCACTAGCTTGAGTATGTATGTATGTATGTATGTATGTATGTATGTATGTATGTATGTATGTATGTGTAAAACAATAAGTATACCCTGTCTATAGACCTAAAACTCGAAGCTATATCAACTTTTAACTCATGAAATTCATCCAATGCAAAACTTCACCCTAACACACATACATATTTATACATGTTAACGAGTTGGTCGGGAGGTCAGGGTTGGCACATGACTCATAAACACACTACACTAATGCTATGGAACTCACCTGTAATTTATACCTGAACTTGTATCGATGTTCCTGTGGTAATTATTGTAAAGGGATTCACCTGTACCTGAGTGAAGGAGAAGTATAGGATTGGTGTGGTTCTAGTAGCCTACTGACTCTGTGTGTGTGTGTGTGTGTGTGTGTGTGTGTGTGTGTGTGTGTGTGTGTGTGTGTAGTGATAGCAAGGTCATGTGCTCTTACTTCTTGCCTGTTTATTTGATATCTGCACACACACACACACACACACACACACACACACACACACACACACACACACACACACACACACAACAAACAATACACACACACACACACACACACACACACACACACACACACACACACACACACACAGCGTTCAGTCTAATTGAGCAGAACGAGTTAGTTAATGTAACGGAATTGGGCTAAATGACCTCAGTAGTCGATAACTGGAGTGCGACAACAACAACAACACAACAGCAACGATGTCAACAACAACAGTGTTAATGACAACAATAATATATATGTCGACAACATCATCAGTATCAACAACAGAAACATCAGTATCAACAACAGAAACATCAGTATCAACAACAGAAACATCAGTATCAACAACAGAAACATCAGTATCAACAACAGAAACATCAGTATCAACAACAGAAACATCAGTTATCAACCAGAAACATCAGTATCAACAACAGAAACATCAGTATCAACAACAGAAACATCAGTGTCAACAACAGAAACATCAGTATCAACAACAGAAACATCAGTATCAACAACAGAAACATCAGTATCAACAACATAAACATCAGTGTCAACAACAGAAACATCAGTGTCAACAACAGAAACATCAGTATCAACAACAGAAACATCAGTATCAACAACAGAAACATCAGTATCAACAACAGAAACATCAGTATCAACAACAGAAACATCAGTATCAACAACAGAAACATCAGTATCAACAACAGAAACATCAGTATCAACAACAGAAACATCAGTGTCAACAACAGAAACATCAGTGTCAACAACAGAAACATCAGTATCAACAACAGAAACATCAGTATCAACAACAGAAACATCAGTATCAACAACAGAAACATCGGTATCAACAGAACATCGAGTATCAACAGAAACATCGAGTATCAACAACAGAAACATCGGTATCAACAACAGAAACTTATCGAGGTATCAACAACAGAAACGTCAGTGTCAACAACAGGAAACATCAGTGTCAACAACAGAACATCCGGTGTCAACAACAGAAACATCAGTATCAACAACAGAAACATCGGTATCAGCAACCCAGAAACATCTGAAGTGTCAGCAAGCAGAAACATCAGTATAACAACAGGAAACATCAGTATCAACAAACATCCAGTATCAACAACAGAGAAACATCAGTCTGTCAACAGCAAAACATCAGTATCCAGCAACAGAAACATCGGTGTCAACAACAGAAACATCGGTATCAACAACAGAAACATCGGTATCAACAGCAAAACATCGAAACAACAACAGAAACATCAGTATCAACAACAGAAACATCAGTGTCAACAACAGAAACATCAGTGTCAACAACAGAAACATCAGTATCAACAACAGAAACATCAGTATTAACAACAGAAACATCAGTATCAACAACAGAAACATCAGTATCAACAACAGAAACATCAGTGTCAACAACAGAAACATCAGTGTCAACAACAGAAACATCAGTGTCAACAACAGAAACATCAGTATCAACAACAGAAACATCAGTATCAACAACAGAAACATCAGTATCAACAACAGAAACATCAGTATCAACAACAGAAACATCAGTATCAACAACAGAAACATCAGTATCAACAACAGAAACATCAGTATCAACAACAGAAACATCAGTATCAACAACAGAAACAGCAGTATCAACAACAGAAACATCAGTATCAACAACAGAAACATCAGTATTAACAACAGAAACATCAGTGTCAACAGTAATGTTTTAAGTATTAAGTAGTGATTTTTTTCTGTTTATTATAATTATTTAATAATATTTTCACTTAATAATTTATCCGTTATTGTATATTCTTATTGTTTAACTTTTATCAATTATGGTTATTTGTTTATTTGTATTGTAGTATAAATTATATAACATCTCAGTCATTTATATTTGCCTATAATTATGTATATATAATCTACATTTTAGTTTATATATTAATAATGTTGTACTTAATTATATATCGATATTTACAGTTATTGTTTATTATTTGTTATTAATTTCCTATATGTTTTGTCAATTAATCGTTATATTTAACAGCTTTTAATTACTTTTCTATTTAAATAATTCAATCTGTGTTTTATTAATTAATTTTTCACTCTTGTGGTTGTATTTTATCGTTCACTCAATGGTACTAAATAATCGTTCACTCACGTTATTTATTTAATTTCACTCTATTTCTATTTAATTCTTCACCTCAATAATCGCACCCATGTTATTGTTGTCATGAAGTGGTATATCTCCGTCTGAGGGAAACTGTTACTATGGTATATTATAAGCTTAGACTCTGGTGGGCGAACGGTGGTTAACTAACTTAGGAAATGAAAGGGGATGGACAGGAATGAATAAAATAATGAAGGGATGAGAGACAGAGAGAAGAGGGAGAAGGGGAGAGAGAGAGAGAGAGAGAGAATAGGAGGAAGAAAGAGAGAGGGAGACAGATAGACAGATCATGAGGTTTAAATAACTGAGGAAATGAAGGGGAGGGAAAGGAATGAAAAAATACTGACAAGTAGAGATGAGAGAGAGAAGAGGGAGGAGGAGGAAGGGAGAGAGAGAGAGAAAGAGAGAGACAGGTGTGGGAAGACGGAGAGAAACAAGAGAGAGAGAGATTAACAAACTGATAAAACAAAGGGGAAGGCAACAAGTTAATAAAGTAATGGAACAAGTAGGAATGAGACAGAGAGAGGGGGTGGAGGGAGGAAGATTGGAAGAGGGGAGAGAGAGAGGGTGAGAGTAAAGTTAAAGGGATGATGTGTAGGGAAAGGTTAATAATGAATTGGTTACTGGAACAATTGGCAATAATAGAGAGACGGAGAGAGAGAGACAGAGAGACAGACAGACAGAAAAAGAAAAGAGAGAGAAAGTAAAGTTAGTTCAATGATAGGATAAGAACAGCATAGGATAATGGATTAAATAACTAGCAGGGTACAGGAGGTATAACTAGCAGGGTACAGGAGGTATAACTAGCAGGGTACAGGAGGTATAACTAGCAGGGTACAGGAGGTATAACTAACAGGGTACAGGAAGTATAACTAGCAGGGTACAGGAGGTATAACTAGCAGGGTACAGGAAGTATAACTAGCAGGGTACAGGAGGTATAACTAGCAGGGTACAGGAGGTATAACTAGCAGGGTACAGGAAGTATAACTAGCAGGGTACAGGAGGTATAACTAGCAGGGTACAGGAGGTATAACTAGCAGGGTACAGGAGGTATAACTAGCAGGGTACAGGAGGTATAACTAGCAGGGTACAGGAAGTATAACTAGCAGGGTACAGGAAGTATAACTAACAGGGTACAGGAGGTATAACTAGCAGGGTACAGGAGGTATAACTAGCAGGGTACAGGAGGTATAACTAGCAGGGTACAGGAGGTATAACTAGCAGGGTACAGGAGGTATAACTAGCAGGGTACAGGAGGTATAACTAGCAGGGTACAGGAAGTATAACTAGCAGGGTACAGGAAGTTTAACTAGCAGGGTACAGGAGATGCAACTGGACCTAAACCACCTCACTCCTTTCCTGTTCATTTTCATAACATAAAAGTAATCAAGAACCATCAGCCAAAACCAAACTTTCTACCCTTACTATATTATCCATACAGAACAGATGAACTTTGCAAATGGCTGTAGATTTTAGATGTTAATATTGTTAGTCAGAAGATAAATAAATGTATCGTAAAGTCACTCCAAAAAAAAATTATCTATACCAAATTGGGTTGAAAAAATATGACACAATAGACGAAACATTTTGACAACACCTACTGTGACAATAGGAGATATAGTGTTCGTTCTGAAATTCATCGATCACCCCATGTATAGATATTTTTTTTTTAAGTGACTGTACTTTATTTTATGCCTATATGTTTTAATATAATGGTTGATGGTTCATTATATAGTATATCGAACTTTTCATCACCTTACTTAGTTTAAGTAGGGAGGGAGGGAGAGAGAGAAGGAAGAATAGAGTTTTTACTAAGTGATGGAGAGAGAGTTTGGTTAAGTGACGAGATGAAGGGATAATTAAGAATTGGGTAATGGAACGGATAAGGTAAAGAGGGAGAAAGAGAGAGGCAAGAAAGGAGGGAAGGAGAAAGAAAATGAGAGGAGAGATTAATGAGAGAAAGATGTATTGAAGAAGAGAGAGAGACAAATAGGTAAGTAAGAGAAAGGAGGTAAAGGAGAGAGAGAGACAGAGAGAGAGACGACTAAGATAGAAAACCGAATTATAAAGAGAGAGAATTGAGACAAAACTACAAAATAAAAGCAATGCCAACAGCCAGAACGAAGACATAATCAAAATAAACACGCTAACAAAAGCTTGGAATGTGGACGCAATCAAGACATAAATTTAAACAAAAAGCTAAAACCGGGATTAAATCAAGATACACAAAAGCTAAAATTAGGGACAGTATCAAGAAGCAAAATTAAACAAAAGCTAAAGTGGAGAAACAATCAACAAACTCTTAAACAAATACAGAAAAAAAAGTTACACAAAAGCCAACAACTGCCAAGATACATAGAAGCTACAAAATGAAGATATGAATAAAAGCTACAATAAGAGCTAGAAACAAAAGCTATAAGTAAAAGCTAAAAATAAAAGCTAAAAATAAAATCTACAAACAAAATCTGAAATTAAAAAGCTACAAACAAAAGCTATAAATAAAAGCTACAAACAAAAGCTAAAAATAAAAGCTAAAAATAAAAGCTACAACAAAAATATCACCCAACATAGGACGAGACTTCTCCAGTACACACAGGTAGCGTCTACGACACCTGCCAGTAATCAAGGCTAATAGGACGAAATGTTGCCGCTAGAATTATGACATTACCGGAGTTTATTGTTGCTTATAAGTTTTACGGTCATTTTTAATGCATTTCTGAAACTAACTTTGGCCATTAACGGAGACTTACAACAGCGAATTAAAAAAAAAAAGGTGGAATGCACGTTTCTGGAGTCTGATTCACCTTCCCTCGTGTGTGTGTGTGTGTGTTTTGGAGATAGTGATAATATAATTAACACTGATAATGAATTTAATAATAATAGTAATAATAATACAGGGGCTCTGCTCGAAACCGTCACCGAAGAAACCATTTTTTTTTTTTTACCAAACTTTTAATTTTTAAGATTTTGACCAAAAACAAATTAAATTCCCGCCTTCCAATTAGTACTCGTTCTGGCCACTTTGTTTTGATGGCGCCAGGGGTGGAGGGATAATATTTCCGGCTGTTTGTTCTTATATTGTCGTGTGATGAAGCTAAGAAATTGGATAAAGAGGATGTGGGAGAATGTTTGGTCACACACACACACACACGCACACGCACACACGCACACACACACACACACACACACACAGAGGTAATGAACATGGTGAGGAAGCCAGAAGAGCAACTAACAAATGCAGATGACGAGAATTTATTCGGGCATTGGAACAAAATATGAGAAAACCAAAGTGCAGTGAGAAAGTTACTGACTGTCTCTCATTAACTGACTGTCTCTTCCCCTCAACAGTAATGTCATAGTCTGTACCTTATTATATCATGTAGTAAAATCATGTACATATGCTGTATCATGTTAGTATGGTTTAATTAAGTTCATTTGATATTATTTAGTCCTTGTTATCAGTTCAAGGTCGCTTATTGCCGTCCAAACTCATCTTATCGTGCTGACTGTCATTCGTCCACCACAGCCACTCACCACCACAGTTACACATCACCACAGCCACACACACACACACAGTTACACATCACCACAGCCACACACACACACACACACACACACACACACACATCACACACACCACATCACCACAGCCACACACATCACCACACAGCCACACACACACACAGCCACACACATCACCACAGCACACACACACACACACACACACACACACACACACACACACACACACACACACACACACACACACACACACACACATCACCACAGCCACACACATCACCACAGCACACACCACCACAGTTACACATCACCACAGCCACACACACACACACACACACACATCACCACAGCCACACACCACAGCCACACCCA